CCCAAAGATGTATAAAAGGTAATTCGTTTCTTATTCCTTAAATTTCCCCTCTGCCTGTACAGAATGAAACTCAAGAGCTGCATATGAGAGTCAAATCTAATTTAAAGAAATACTTCCCTTAATTTATCACATCATGAGTAGTCAATAAAAATTTACATAACAGTAATAGCCATTGCTTTATGTTGAGTTTAAACATTGAATTTTAAAAAGTCTAGCAGAAAACATTAAAATTGCTTTAATTTTTAGATTTAAACAAAATTTATAATATGATTTCAGAATAGTCCTATGCTAGCTACACATGCCTTTAAACCCAGTAACTTGGGGGCTGAGACAGGAGGATTGCAAATTTGAGGCCAGCCTCAACAACTCAGTAAGACCTTGTATCAAAATTAAAGAAATAAATAAATGAAATAAAAGGATTGCAGATATAGCTCAGGGGTGAATGCCCCTGGGTTCAAACCCCAGCACAAAATAATAATAATAATAATAACAACAACAACAACAACAGGCCCAGGCTTCAGAATCTACTATGTGAGAAAATCAACACTAAGTTATCATACTAAGCATCGTGCTAAGTTATAAAAATACAAAAGAGATTTGGGACAGGTTTCATTGTTCTGTAATAATGGAAAACAATTATCACATATATGTGGATATGTATGGATTTGTATGTACGTGTATGTAGATCAGCTAAATAACTTCTAAGTAGTAATTATTACAAAATGCTTAGCAATATAATTTTAAACATTCTATCTCTATTATTTTCTAAAAGATGTCAAAGGAAGGAATTAGCAGTTAGCTGCTGAGATTTACTTTGATGTTTAATTTTAATAGGAAGAAGTAAACAACCAATTTAAACTAAAAATATCTACTGAATAAAAAATGTTTTCAACTTGAATTTATTAGAGAATTTCTTAGTTGTCAATTAACTTGAGATCATTGGATATATATGGCCATAGGGAATTTAAAATATCAGAAATCATAATTATTTGCCAAGATGAAGGAAATCTAATATTAAGTTTAGGATTTTGAGAATGGAGCCCAAAGGTACTTAATTAACAAAATTACCCCCCTTAATAAAGTGAATGTTTGAAGTGATATATACATCTAACATTATCTCTGTCAAAATACTAGCAGTTTTCTTGACAGAAATTAAAAAATAGATCCCAATATTTACGTGAAATTTCAAGGGACCAGAAGAGTTAAACAATCTTTAAAAAGAACAGCATGGATAGCTGGTATTTTCCAATTCTAAAACTTATAATGAAGATATGGTAGTCAAGACAGTGTGGCACTGTTGTAAAGATAGACATGTAGATCAATAGGATAGTTCAGAAACAAACTCACATATTTATGGTTAAATGATTTTGAACAAGGGAACCTGAGACCATTCAACAGAGAGTCTTTTCAACAAGTAATGCAAAGATGTCATGTGTCCTAGTAATTCACCTTTAGGTTATAAACCCCCAAAGAAATTTAAACATGTGCCCACACAAACAATTTTCCGCAGATGTTCATGGTAGTACTGCTCAGAATATCCCAAAAGTGTAAACAAGACAAATGTCCATCAACTAACTGATGAAGTGGAAACAAAAGGTGAGGCTTGCATGATGGAATGCCATTTTACAACAAGATAATGAAGTGCTGACATACGCCGCAATGCGTCAGCATTGTGCTATGCGCAAGAGCTAATTACCAAAGACCACATATTATATGACTCTATTTGTACAAAATGTCCAAAATAGGATAATCGATGAAGACAGGAAACATATTATAGCTTGCCCAGGGCTGCCAGGGCAGAGATGGGAGGGCTGAAGAAAGCCTGGTAGATGCTAATGGGCATGGGATTTCTTTTATGGGTGATGAAATATTCTAAAGTTGATTTTGGTGATGGTCACACAACTCTGAATATACTAAAATTAAATTACATGGCTTAAGTGGGGGAACTATGTTACATGAATTTTATTTCAATAAAGCTTTTTATAAATGATGAACATTAATAACTAGAACTTTACTCACAGATTAAAAAAAAGCTTAGCTAAATGAGAATCTACATGTAATTATGTTTTTTCTTTTTTCCTTTGACATCTTGAAATTATGTTTATGAATAGAAGGGGTACAAAAGAAATACAGGCATGCCAGTTATTCAGAGAACTGAGTATTAATAAAATTAAGAAAAATATCAAGAATTCCAACGTTTATGTAATGCTTTAAGGTACAGAAAGCACTGGCATCAATGGCCTTTTAGTCAACGAAACAGCAAACCAGAAAGTTGCTTGTCCCCTCCCCTCACTGACTTTGAACAAGGAGATCAAATAAGAGAGATAAATTTCACAAAATCTTCAGGAGAAACTTAGGAAAAAAAAAATACAAGGAAATGGTAGCCTGCCTTAGGAAAGGGACAGAGTCACATTGTCCAGGATGGATTGATACCTGCTCCACCTGCTGTGCAGCAGGGAAGCAGAACCAGCCAGGTGCCAGCCCAAGGCTATGGAGTAGTGATGTTAACTCCAGAGGTCAGCTTGGGTGAGCAATCTCACAGCCATGAAGGCAGAGGGCTGGACCACTCCTAAGCCTTCACTTCTGCCCACCTCAACTGGGGGCTTGGTGATTACATCAATGTATGTGTACACTGTCTAATACTTAGGAAAAAATCAAATATTTATTTTGATCCATTGAAGCTAAATTTAAGTATAACTAAGAGAAAATTCTGAGAAATTCCAGAAATAAGATGGAAACTGCTTAAAAATGACATTAAACTGTTTTTAAATTTTTAAAGAAGGAAACTTTAAACTGAGTTTTACATACCATTAAGTTGTTTTGTGTTTGTGTGTATGTATACTCACACACATGTATACACATTTGATCTATCAAGAATGCCACATAAAAAAAATCTCTGGGAGGGTTATACTAGTGAAAAATGAAAGAAATGAATGAGCAAACAGCTAGAAATAAAAACAATAAAACATTCATTGTTATTAAAATATTCCATAATAAAGAAAAAAGTACATCCAAAACATTAAGATCAAAATTTTCAGGTAGTGTCAACATCTGGAAGGAGAAACAGGGAGCTGAGAGCATTCTAAGCATTAATCTTGTTTGAGACTGGCAGTGGAGGAATGTGTTTGTAAGGTTTAGACTTGCTAAGGAAAAGTAACCACTATGACGGATCTTGCTAAGTAAGAGACACTATGAGAAACAAAAATATGATATGAAATACTTGGTTTGGTAGACAAAAGTCAATTTATCCAACAGAAGCTGGGAAAAGAATCACAAGGAGGCATGCTAATAACACGCGCGCGCGCGCACACACACACACACACACTCACACACACATTGGATAGCTGAAATAAGTATTGTTCTTGGTAAACAGTAACTTTTATCAATGTGTACACCAAGCAGAGATTCACAGAGTAAAGGGGGAAATACAAACCAATCATCTCCTCTACCAGAGACAAGTGCAAAACAGAAGGACAGAGAAGGAAGGACTGCCAGCAAATAGAAACTGAACAAAAGTGGGGTCTATATTTCTAACTCCACAAAGTAAAATTTAAGGTTAAAAAGTCACGATGATAAAGAAGACAGAAAAGTTTGGAAAAATTGAACAAGATGATGTAATGAACATATGTGCACCTGATAGCAGTTTCTCAAACCCCTCCAGGGAGCAACTGAGACACAGGCAGGACCTGGGTGAGCTTCCTGATTCTGATAACTCCTCCCGCTCTGGCTTATGTCTGCACGACTGACATTCCTTTCCCCGTTGTTCCTTGGCTTTAGCAATATTTGAGAATGTTTTAAACAGATGAACAAACGAGAATTTGGATTCAAATAGTCCAGGTTTTCTATTTGCTAAGGGTTTTGTACTAACATTTGAACCAAGGGGCCAAGATGAAATGACAGCACTCGCTGTAACTTTCATCTAATCACTGTGTCTCTTTTCCAATTTCTCCCCAAGCAATGGAAGAGACACACATAAATTTCCTAGTGTTCAAAGCTTCCACGGCAACCTGTGATCTAGAGTAGTAAAAAGTCAAGAACACAAAAGCCAGACACAGCACACATTTTATTGCCTCCCAGAACAGGCCTTTTGGATAGTATCCATGACGCGTAACAGTTTCATTTTTTCAGAATCACCAAAAATGTTACAGAATCAATTATATTTGTACCTAGGTTTGGGGAGGAGTTTAATTTTTATATCCTTGCTTTCCTTGAAGAAAAGCAAAATCTTAAAAATATCAACATATAATTATTCAAATGAGAGCATTTAAAAAAGGGAATAAAATATTTCAATATGAGAGTGCTTTAATTTTTCTACTTAAATATTGTGATACAAATAAAATAAAAATAAAATAATAAGCACAAAATTAAATTGGTGTGCTTCAAAAGCACACCAATAATTAATCATTAACCACAATCTGTGAGCTTTTACTATTCAGGGTTTTTGTTCTCAGAAACCATTTCATGCATTGTTTTGGGGTTTTGACACCACATTTACATGTGTATGATGATTTGTTTCACTGTACTCTATTTCTGCACAGCCATTCTTCACACACAAGAAAAAAATTATACTTCTCAAAATTTAAAAATAAAACTATAGTGCTACTCATGTCCTTCCATTTTTTATAGTAAACTTTGCTAATAAAGGTAGAGATGAATTGTTAAATAGGGGCCAGTGGATGTACCAAGGACTAAGTGTCTGTGCTTTGTTTCTCCCATCTTAACTATATCTTAAATTCCTTCAACTCCTACCTGTCAGGGAAAGGCTGCCAGGTGAGCAGTCTGTCAGTCTTGCCTAGGCTAATAGATTCTCCAGTGGCTTTTGTTACAGTTCATGTCATACCATTAAAACTGTGTGCCTTGAAAATGGCATAACATATGTAGCTGAATCTTGTCAACTCTAGATAATCAGACTCTGTGTGGCTTCACAAGCAGATGCAGATTAGAGAAACAATATAAATATGTAAATCACTGTGATCCCCTTTCGGCACCACTGTTCCTACCTCTAATGGCCCTCGCAGAAAGTCTGTTTGTTCGGCTCCCACTTCCAGTGCTACATCAACAGAAGCAAAGGGACGGCTGGCCATCTGCTGTCGTTCTCGAAGCAGTTGCTGGAGGGGGTTAAAAATGATCTGTTTAAAATAGGCTTGAAAGCACATTAAACTCAACAATATCTGGTTTCATTTTTGAACAAATGGCACTGAAAATTTAGGAACCATTTATACACATCCATATCAAGAGAGATAAAGATGAAAATTACCTTCTCCCCATGGCCTGGGTTATATTTCCATAGGGACATTAAATGTATAGAGCCTACAAATAACTTTTCCCCTGACCTTCATCCCACAAGCTTAATAAAATGTTCTCAAAAGCACTTTGAAAACCTTGGGTGAGACGTGCTACTTAAATAATAATTAAAAAATGCTATTACAATGACAGCTTATGCCAAATTTTCCCACTCAAAATAACCTATGCTTTTGTCTTAGCTGAAAGAAAATAACAGTACAAATGTCTAAGAAATGATAATGAAAAGTTGTCAAAATGCATGAATAGAGATTAAAGGAACATATACCCTACAAGACTAAGTATTGTAAGATGTCAAGATCCCCTGTCAATTTCTATGGAACTGGTAGGAATCATCATTGTTGGTATTTATAACTTTACTCAAGGCTTCCAAGTTCATTATTTTAAATCAGGAATGATTAATAAATTGTAGAAGTTTTGTGCCTGTGCTTCTAAAGCACCCTTGATATTTTTTCTTTCTCCTTGTACTTATTGTGGGATTTGCCCAAGCTAAAATCAATAAACCTTAAAGTCCCAACCAACTACCAAGCTAATTCATATTTCTGCCTCTCCTTGTAATTATAAAATTCATTAAGTCATGATAAGAAAAAATTGATGGCCAGTACTAGATATTGCAAATCTTGGCCCCTCTCATTCAATACAGCTAATAAAATTATTATTAAATATTAAAGGAAGATGAGAGATGCAATTAAATATTCTTTCAAATGAGAAGAGAATCATATCATTGGAAGAAGGCAGAATCCTTGAACACAATGAATGGCTTTATTATTTATACAGACTTTTAAAGATTCACTGGCTTTAACTTAAAACGTTAACTACTCAGCTCTGCATGCAAATGGATGCAGGCCTCTGTTGCATCATTCATAAGATTCCCTGTGGAAGACAAGGGACACAAGGCAACACCCAGTGGCAGTTTATTATTTACATATTTAACACTTGTGACACAGTGGTGATGGTATTCATGAAATGAGGATCTAAAATATAATCTCAGGCTTTGCTTAACCACTATTTAAAAGAGATATCCACATAATAATATGGGATAGCAGTAATGCAATCGTTAATAGCTTAACTTACTAAATTATACTTTTCCTAGAAGTAATAAATCCATACTAAAAAACTTATACAAAGTAGATAGTAAATGTGATTTAATTATCAAATTATTCCTTTAATATAAATTCAAAATTATTTTATTAAAAATATAGTTGTTAGCAAATAGAATCTGATCTGCACCTCTCAATAGGAGTGGCTAATGGATCTGAAGAGAAAGACTATGCAAAATATAAACACCATGATGAGTGATACTAAAAGTGGAAGACACTGTGCTCTTGGAAATATACACACAGACCAACATGCATACATACCCCCCACCACACACACAAATACACAATCGACCTTTCCCAGAGTAATATACAATTAGCTCTGAGAAAACTGCAAACCATAGTTTGTGTTCACAGTTTTCTAATTTTTATATTAACACATTTTTTTTAAGCGAGAGAGAGAGAGAGAAAGAGAGAATTTTAATATTTATTTTTCAGTTTTCAGCGGACACAACATCTTTGTTTGTATGTGGTGCTGAGGATCGAACCAGGGCCAGATGCATGCCAGGTGAGCGCGCTACCGCTTGAGCCACATCCCCAACCCTATATTAACACATTTTTCCATTTGCATAGGTTCTCCTTAACTTGTACAGGGCATCTCACATGATTAAGTGATTTTTTTAACAAATGAGAAGTTTCTGATTCTTCATCTTGTCTTTTCTATACACCTGAAAGTAAAAGGTCTAGAGTACACAATCAATACACACTACCAAAACTCACAATGTAAATTGATAAACATTCCAAATTCACTAACTTTAGATATTCCCTGGAATATCATATATTATTATAAACCCTAATCCTCATAATAAAAAAAATCAGTGATTAATACTTCTGTTTAATTTTTGAAATTTTATTTGTAGAATGCCAAAGTATTTTTAAAGATTCCAGTTTGTCCTCTGAGCTTTGAGTTTCTATCACATTTTAAGAATTGAGTGCCTGCTACAGTACTTTCTTTATAGACAATGTTTGTTTTTGCCCAGACTTTAACATGGTAGTTTGTATAATACAACATGATGAATGATGATGATAATAACAATAGTAATAATTAGGGCATAAAGAGAGGGTATCAGTAAAGATAGAAACAGAGAATAAGACATACAAATTTCATCTGGGCCACTTAGCAGATTAGTTTGGGGACTCTTGCTGACATAGCTGACTTTCTGACTTGGGAACTAAGGCAACTGTTGTTCCTGCGAAATGGATGAAGAGTGAATCGCATTCTCCCGAAACACTCTTGCTTTGCTGTGGTGACTCGAAAATAATAAAATGGAAGAAATTACAATTATCTTTGCTACCAATTTCTGGCTCTAGTCCTGTCCTTAACACCTGTCCTCCTTCTATCCAATTAATACCTGGATGTATTACTTCCTGCATTTTGCAGAACAAAAGGAAATGTCAACAACATGCTTACAATTTAAATTTGTCAAACAGCATAAACACCAACAAGTGAGTGACACAGACTCTGGATCTGAAGAGCCTGCCTTTGAAGACCAGTTTCCTCCACTTCAGTGGAGCACAGCCAAAAGATTCAGACCTCTGGAAGCCTCACTTCTCCCCGTCTGTAAAGTGGGGTTCACCATAGTACCTACACCTACACCTGTACCACAGGGGACCTGCTTTGAATCCCAGTGTCTCTACTCACTCACTATTGGACCATAACCAAATTACTCAGGCTTTTCAAACACTCATTCCTTCCCTCTATGAAAGGGGAACAACTAGCATCTTCAGGTCCTAAGGTTAGAACTAATGAAGCGATGAACTTGGACCCCTCAGCACAGAGGTGGGCGCTCTGTGAGCACACAATGACTCTTCACAATCATGCTGTTGAATTTCAAGCATTAGTTTTGTCTTTGAAGATGACACACTAATTACCACAAGCCCATTTTCTTTAGCACTGGTGACACATTTTGCTTTACGAGTCTCCCTTTTACCAAATGTTGCAAATTTATGAGACAGTTGGAAAATGTCATTATTGTTGTAAAATGAATTTATATTTGGAACTTCTTGGTGTGCCATTTGTGATGAAAAATGATTAAAAACACAATCTGAAAATTAGGAGAAAATATATAGTACTTTAAGAAATTTTGCAAATTAATTTACTTTATGTGATTGTTTTTTTAAATGAAGTCTAAAAATGTACATCAGTAAGAAGCCAAATAGCACATGTATCTGTTTGTAACTATTCTTCTACTGCCAATTATGCAGCAGAACTCTAAAACCAAGAGAACAAGTTGATCATAATACAATAGATTATAATCATGCTGTCATAAACATTGATGTGAGGAAAATTTAAAAATTAAAGAGATGATCTTAGTATCATATTAGTTGTCCAAAATAACTATTACTATTCAAAATCTCTTACAGACCACACATGGAATTAAAAGTAATGTGAAAATCCACTTAAACTTGACAACTAGGTGTAATAATTGCTCCTATCAAATTTATACATGAATACAGATAATTCTTCCTCTTCCTACCTTTACTTCAAATCCTGTATTATTTCCCAAGTTCACATTAGACACATTCCTACTATGACAAGGCACATAGTCTCTAATAAACTGTGGGACAATGACTCTCCAAATGCACATGCACACAATACACTTGTTCCTGCCATAGGCTCCTCTCATCTCTGTGGGAAGAGGTTCCCACACATCCTCCTCCTTCACCTCCAGATACCCTTCTGTTTCACCTCTGCTACCAGCTTTCACTATATTAGCATGATGCTGCTTCTTTTTCTTTTCTAGAATCTTCTTTGAGGTCAAAAGTTATTTTTGGCTATTTCTTAACCCCCAAGCACTTAGTGGATATTCAATAGGAATGGACTATGAACATGTGAATAATTTAAAGCATAAAATTTTGCATCATATTAAAAAGGGTAAAGGCAAGTTTTAAAATTGATTTTAATTATGATTAAATTTAAAAACTAGGATGAATCCTTTGATATTATGGACTTTATGTCTTATATTCCAAAGTAGGTTGGCATTTTTTTTAATGGGGCAGTTTTGTGGATCTGTATTTCAAATCTACATCAGGCCCGTATGGTTCTTCACCTACCTTACTGCAATTAAGGATTAATGGAAAAGCTGTCATAAAACCATCCCAATGCATTAGTATATCTAACAGCAATAAATTCCTAAAATTTTGGAAAGTTATAAAAGGAGAAATTAAAATGATTTTTCATTGGTCTTGAGTTTATGTACTGAAATGAACCAAGAGCTTGAATCAGTGATTAACAAACTTTATAAAACGGGTGTTTCTATTATCAACACAAACACATCTAACAGAGCAACAATAAAAACAGTAGATTTTTCTTTTGGTGTTATAATAGTATAAAGAAATAAAGAGTTCTGAAATACCTTTCAGAACCATCAAAGCAGGAGAGTATATGATTCTATCATTTTACATAACTAGATCTTCAAGGCACAAGGCTCTTGTTCAGAGATATTGGGAATCTTTTGCTTCCAGTCTTCTAATCTGAGGCTGGTTTTTCTGGATAGTGGTGTTAGTCCTTTATGGTAGTGGTCTGGCAAGCTGTCTTTATTCAGGTTACTCCGATTACTTTTTTCTAGGTCTCTACAATTTTTGAACAACTGGGGATGTGCTTACTTTTGAAATACTGTTGTTTACTTAGAAATGAAAAAATTCAAGTAGCTTTCTGATGGGTTCTCACTGAGTTTATTGAAAATATTCACTTCCATTGATTTTAAAAT